GAATTTTGGGATTTGGGAATTTTGGGATTTGGGAATTTTGGGATTTGGGAATTTTGGGATTTGGGAATTTTGGGATTTGGGAATTTTGGGATTTGGGAATTTTGGGATTTGGGAATTTTGGGATTTGGGAATTTTGGGATTTGGGAATTTTGGGATTTGGGAATTTTGGGATTTGGGAATTTTGGGATTTGGGAATTTTGGGATTTGGGAATTTTGGGATTTGGGAATTTTGGGATTTGGGAATTTTGGGATTTGGGAATTTTGGGATTTGGGAATTTTGGGATTTGGGAATTTTGGGATTTGGGAATTTTGGGATTTGGGAATTTTGGGATTTGGGAATTTTGGGATTTGGGAATTTTGGGATTTGGGAATTTTGGGATTTGGGAATTTTGGGATTTGGGAATTTTGGGATTTGGGAATTTTGGGATTTGGGAATTTTGGGATTTGGGAATTTTGGGATTTGGGAATTTTGGGATTTGGGAATTTTGGGATTTGGGAATTTTGGGATTTGGGAATTTTGGGATTTGGGAATTTTGGGATTTGGGAATTTTGGGATTTGGGAATTTTGGGATTTGGGAATTTTGGGATTTGGGAATTTTGGGATTTGGGAATTTTGGGATTTGGGAATTTCGGGATTTGGAAATTTTGGGATTCGGGAATTTTGGGATTTGCGAATTCTGGGATTTGCGAATTTTGGGATTTGGGAATTTTGGGATTTGCGAATTTTGGGATTTGCGAATTTTGGGATTTGCGAATTTTGGGATTCGGGAATTTTGGGATTTGGGAATTTTTGAATTTAGGAACTTTAGAATATGGGAATTTTGGGATTTAGCAATTCTGGGATTTAGGAATTTTGGAATAAGGGAGTTTTGGGATTCGGAAATTTTAGGATTTAAGGACTTCAGGATTTGAGAATTATAGGATTTGCAAATTTTGGTATTTGAGGATTTGGGGATTTGAAGTCGTGAACATTTGGAGATTTGGGAATTTGGGGATTTGGGAGTTTGGAGATTTAGGAGTATGGGCATTTAGAAGTTTAGGGATTTGGGAGTTTGGGGTATTGGGAGTTTGTCAATTTGTGTTTGGTGATTTTGAGGTTAGAAACTTAAAGGTTTAGATATTTAAAATTTTAGAAATTTGGAAATATGAGGACTTAGGATCTTGAAATCTTGAAAATTTTAGTGTTTAGGGATTTTGAAGTCTTGGGCATTTGGGGATTTTGGAGTTTGAGAGCTTGAGGTTTTGGAGATTTGGAACTTTGGAAATTTGTCAATTTGAAAATTATGAGATTTGAGATCTTAAATGTTTCGATATAAGGAATTTTGGAAATTTGTGAGTCTGAGTATTTAGAGATTTAGGAATGTTGAGATTTGAGAATTTGAAGAATTGGGAGTTTGTCTCAATTTGGTGATTTTGAGGTTAGGAACTTAAAAGTTTAAATATTTAGAATTTTAGATACTTGGGGATTTGAAGGTTTGAGAATTGAGGAACTTAGTGATGGGATTGAGAATTGAGGACCTTAGTAATAAAAATTAAAAAATTTATTGATTTGGAAATATAAAAATTAAAAACTTTATAAACATGAACATTTGACACAAAGAGTAGAAAACTCCCATCTCCACATTCATATTTAACTTTTCCTAAAATTTATCCTTCAGAATAAATAAATACTGCCTTAGCAAAAATTAGCTACTTTGCACATCAAATCTCTAACTATAATCTCAGCACCTACTTTAAAAACACACCTACAGTTAAAGGGTTGAAACCTTATCAGTAGCGCAAAGTAACCTCAGTTTCTTCGAACCGATTTCCGTTGACACACTTCATGCAACCGCCGGTACAATTCTGCGTATCGAATGTTCCCAAAAATAAAGTCGATCTATTTATTCGTGTGAAATCATGATCTTTTCAGTTGCATCACGTATTACAGAACGTACTCTATTAAATACAATCTAAGATTATTCTTCTGAGCTGCAACTTACAGTGTTCACATCTCAATTAACGGCGTTAAAAGAAGGCGAAATAATGTTGCAAACGATCGAGTCTAGTTCCCGTCAGGTGAGAAAGGTAAGTAGACTATCGGTATGGCGCATCGTTCGAATAGAGATGCCATACGATAACGTAACCAACAGTGGCACTAACGGTAATGGTAATTTATCGATAACGTTGCCACCCCATTGTTACACGACACGTACGCGCATGTGTGTGCATAGGTGTACGCACACATAAGTTTGCCAATGGATGGGACCATCAATATTAATACCGTTTGTTAACGTGTTTTCTATCTTATCAATTATGGTGGCTCATAATTTATAGTTAACGTCCGCACTTTTTATTTTCTTCGATATTATTTGCGTTCTGCATGTTTTGAGGGAATAGTTGAGAGCTTGGAATATATAAGCACACAATTCGTGACAGAGATAATTAAGAAATTAATTAGACGATATTTTAAGATGGTAGATGCAGGAGAATTGCCAATATATTGTGTTCGATTATCATTAATTTATTAGTATATAATTAGTTTAATTAAAAGGGCTTAATTGATTTAATGAAAAGTGTTCAATTAGTTTAATTGAAAGTGTGTAATTAATTTAATTAAAAGTGTTTAATTAATGTGGCTGTAAACCGTATCCTATGATGCTTTAATGTAACGTTGCGGGTGAAACTTTTGTATTTCGTTGAAATAAATAAAATTTTTATTAAAATGTTATAGATATATTTCAAATGGCATTTAGCTACACAAGATAAGGCATATTTTACAAATATGTTATTTGATTTGATTAGGAAATGGTTACGACTATTCTGAAGATCACATATTCAAAAAATGTATCTTGTTATCTTATTTATCTAGATATTATTTGAAATGAAATTTTTCAAATAATTTTCTCAAATATTCTTAAAACACATCATCTTAATTAGTTGGGTGTTAATTAAAATATTCGAAATTGTTTCAAAGATAATATCTAAAAAATGTATCTTGTTACTTTATTCATCTAGATACTACTTGAAATGAAATTTTTCAAATAATTTCCTCAAATATTCTTAAAACACATAATTTTAATTGGCTGGATGTTAATTAATATAGTCAAAACTGTTCCAAAGATAATATTTAAAAAATATATCTTGATATCTTATTTATCTAGATACTACTTGAAATGAAATGTTTCAAAAATATTTCTGAAGTATTCCAAAAATGCGTCATTTTATCCAGCTAAATGTTAATTAAAACAACCAAAACTGTTACAAAAATAACAGTTAAAAAATATTATCTTACTATCTAATCTTATCTTATCTTGTTATCTTACATATCTACATATTATTTAAAATGAAATGTTTCAAATAAATTTCTTTAATACTTTTCAAACATGTAATTTAGTTAGATAACATAGTTACAAAATATCTTCTATTTTGTTCCAAAGATAATCTACTTAAAAAATATATCTTGTTATCTTATACACATAACTGTTATTAGGAACATAATATTTCAAATACTTTCCAAACATGATAATTCAGCAAGATGATATTTAAAATACCTAATACTGTTCCAAAGACGTCATACTGTCATCTCATTTATCTAGATGCTACTTAAAATATAATGTTTCATATATACCCCCAAAAACTTATCCAACATATTACTTGTATCACGATACAATTTAAAATACTCAAACAATAAAATGCTCCAAAATAATAAAAAAGTGAAAATTTTCAAAATTACTGTAAAATGTAATACTATTACTATTACCAACCATAATACTATTTACCATTACCACCCCAAATGAAATTTACCTAGTTTGGTCAGTCTAGAAATAATACCTAAAAACATGGTTCATAAAACAGCAAATCACCAAATAAGATTATTTGCATGGTGTGCAGTTCGCCCGTCAGGCACGTGACACCATACAGCGAAGCGTAGACACTGAACCGTGAACAGGGTTAAATTCCTTCGACCGATTCCTACCGGCGTTTCTTTCCGCTTCACGTGTGCGCAGTTAGGCGAACCGCTCGTTTACCGGTAGCGTGCTTTCCGCCATCAATCCCGCTCATTTGCGCGGATTCAAAGCGGTTAGCGCAAAGCAGAGGGAGCCACTCTAGCATTGCGAAGCATGGAGATATAATTTTTGCAAGAAATCACTATGGTGTATCGATTGGAGCCCGAAGGTAACATGAGCAACAGTCGAGAGAAAGCCTCGGTTCCCTAGGGAAAATATGGTAACCGAGGGAGAGTTATCTTCTCGTTTCTTCATTTTTATGGATTTTTGAAGTCTTGGAGAATGAATTGGGTATTTGGGAAATTTTAGGTTTTGGGTAGTTTTGGGATTTGGGGAGTTTTAGGATTTGGGTAGCTTTGGGGATTTGGGGATTTGGGGAATTTTGGGTTTTGGGTAGCTTTGGGATTTGGGGAGTTCTGGGATTTAGGGAGTTCTGGGATTTAGGGAGTTCTGGGATTTGGAGAGTTTTGGGATTTGGGGGGTTTTGAGATTTGGGAATTTTAGGATTGAGGGGTTTTGAGATTTGGGAATTTTAGGATTTGGGAATTTTGAAATTTAGGAATTTTCGGATTTAGGTATTTTGGGTAATTTAGGGACTTTGGAATTTGAGAATTCATGGCGTTTAGGGACTTTTGGATTTGGGAGTTTGGAAATTTGGGATTTGGAGATTTCCATATTTGGAAATATTTGGATTTAGAAATTTGAAGATCTCGCAATTTGGAACTTTGGCAACTTTGTAATTTGGAAATTTTAGAATTTTGACATTTCAAATTTTCAACATTTGGAGACAGAAATTTTGAATTGTAATGATATAGAAATTCGAAGACTTGATGACCTTGAAATATTGTGATCCAAGGATTTGTAGTTAAAATTGTATCATGTGATCCAGGGGTATGAAAGTTTAAGAATTTAGTAACCTAGAAATCTGGGAATCTGCAGACTCGGAAATGTAGTAGTTCAGAGATTTTGGTGTTATCGGCGAGAACCTTCATGGGGTCGCTAGCGACCCGTAATGACAGTGGTATGCCGGAGGACTTGCTGGGTGCAAGTTGCAAGGTCGGGACCTTGCACGAAGAAGACAACCTCGTGGCAGAGCTGGAGGAATCGATCGTCCGTGAAAAGGATCCCTTCTGAGAGGGGTACTGCAAACGAACCGGCACGGTGAGTTTCCCATGGCACTCGATGGCGAAGATGGCGCTGGTCTTTTATTAAAAATAAATTATCCAGAGGAAGATCGACGGAGGGGAGGGGCCGTTGCATGCACGGCTGGCTAACGTCGAACACGAACTGCAGAAGGAGGGGAAAGGCGACGAAGAAGAAGAAAAACGAAGAGAAAAAAGAAGATCGAGCCGGTGGAGCGGGGGCTGAAGAGGAGAAGATGCGCGGGCAGCGAACAGAAAGCACAGCCGGACTGCGGAGAAGCAACGCGTACCTTCTCGAAGAACGAAAGGTAAGAGCATCCTCTGGAACCGGTCCTTCTTCTTCGGTAACTCGCCGAGACTCCAGGAGGAAACCAGAATCGGAGCCATGAGGACGCCACGAGGCTTCGATTGACGAAATCGAACGTAAGCGAAGTTTCACGATGGAGGGAAAATGTGAACCTTGAACCGATAGCTTCGAATCCAGAAAATTAACCAGTCTTTTGCATATTTATTGGGTTAATTATTTTGTTCTTGTCAGTAGAAGTTTATTCTTGTGTTACTTTCTCTTTAACTAGACCTTGAAATTTAGAGACAGGGATATAATAATTAAGTATAGTGCAATAACAAAATGTAGCTGTAATTTGATATCTACTTTATGAATTTAGCTACGAGTTTTCAGCCAATTAATGATAAAAGTGGGACAGTAAAATGGTAACATGACAGTGGAACAAAATAGCAGTAATAATATAATAATGCAATAGTAATAATAATTTAATAATAACAACAGTAATAATAATAGTAGTAACATAATAAAGCAATAAAAGTAATAATACAGTGAAGTATTGACAATACAGTAATAATTCAAAATACATTGTAAAATACAATTCTAAACAATACAGTAATAATAATTCAACAGTAACAATTAGTAGAGTAACTGAAATAATAGACAAATTGTTACCAAGTTCCTCCGAAACGTTGAAAGTAAATAAAAAAAGTATGAGTGTAAGGATCCCTTTGTTGTTAAGCCGTCACGTGATGGCTCGAGGCTCAGGAGTCTAGGGCGCAGGGTTTAGGCTCATCCAGACATTGTCTACAGACAATCTGCATACATTGTCCGCAAACAACCCGTAGCTAGTACGCAGACAGTCTGTAAACTGTTTATGGACAATTGTATGAAGAAACGAAAGATTTCTCTACTAAGTTTGCAGATTCGCTATGTCGAAATAACTGTTCAGCTTGCTTTAAAAATCAGGTAAGGAACTATAGTGTTCATTGGAAGTGGACAGTGTTTTGAGAGTGCTCAACTTCTTGCGCGAGTTTTACTCTCAAGCATGCACATAATCCTGGGCCAGCCTTTATGGATGATTATATCCTGATGAGAAACTTGATAGTTTCTCTTGTCAGTGCAGAAGAACGTAATTTATATTTTCTTCGAACTATAATATCCGCGCATAGCTCCGCGATACCCGTAAATTGTTGTTTACTTGTCGAATAAAACCTACTACATTGCCATTCCACGTTCCCGCGGAATTTAACGAACTCGGCTACGCCCTGTAGCTGCATTCGAATGATAATACCATTCACGTGTCTCCGTCCACCGTGAAATAGTATTATACCGCGTGTTTCAAAAAGGTTATGCACTTATAGTTGTGCAGAAACAGGTCTAGACACGTCACTATTTTATAAACTACAGCACTGTTTCGAAGACACAGCAATTAATCGTGCATAGGTGACCTCATTCTTACACACTGTCTCAAACTGCATTGCTTATGTTAGTCGACTGATTTAAATTTTTAGAAACGTCTGGGACACTGCTAAAGTTATTAATATAGGATTGTTAGTTGTATCGAATATTTAGTATTATTATTAACAATATCATCTTAAATGTCATTTGTCTTGTTAAAGAGCTAAGGAATCTATGAAGAGTTAGAATTTAAAGGTTTAACTTTCTGGACGTCCATTTTAGTTGTAAGTCAAGATAGACAAGGTAGACTCATATTTTTGCTTAACTTAGTACATACTTTAGTCAATGGTAGTGTTTGTTCATTTTATCTAAGGTTAAGTTACTTGAGTCACTAAGGACAAATTACTAAACAGATTTGTCATAAATGATTGAGTGAACAGTTGAGGTGATAACAGAAAACCTTGTACAAAAGTACTCGAAGGAGTATGGGACGAAGTAATATATTTAACATACGACCCTAACGGTCAGTTTATGAACTAATAAAAATGGCCGACGCTCATGTAACATGCTATAACCAAATATAATGTTATTTATTTGCGATAGTGAACAATTATAACACAAAATAGTATATTCAGCAATATTATATAATACTTAAATTATTCTTTACACGCTTTTTTATTAATTTTCTATATGAATTCATATTAAAAGTACCATCATATCCGCTACATTTGTTCATCACGATACACTGTCGTTCCGCGAATATGAAGTAACATAACGCAATTCATAAATGTTGATACAGCAGTAATAGAAGTGGCAATATAAGCAAACAGTTCTTAGTCTCATCATCTATTAAGTATCCTCCTCTTATATTGCCAAAGATATCTTAAGCAACATTCACTTGTATGGATGATAATATGCACGCAATCATCTTGCAATGGATAATAATATTAACCAGAACAAATTTGTGAATTTGAATCTCAAGTATTAAATACGACAATTCACAATATAAATATAAAAAGAATTGGTAATAATTGCGAGCTTATATCTAGAAGAACCTAGCTATGTGTAGTCGTAAAGAAGTCATTTAAAATGGTAAAGAAGCAAAGGACCGAAATGGCATCATACCCTATCTTCAGCTTGTGCTGACGTAATAGTGAAATCATCGTATTCGACTACCATTTATTACATCTAATCTCTGCTGATACTGTAATATGAATAATTGACGTACGCTTCTCTTGAATAGGAACTACTGTAGGGAAAAACTCCTTTGCTTGCCAATTTTGTTTAAAACGCGATTTTGGAAGAAATCTACTTTGCAAATATTCAGTTTTCAATTTCCTGAATTTTCAAATTCTCACGGTTTCCAAATCCAAAAACCTTCAAATCACCAAATACCCAAACCCTCAAATTTTCAAGATCTCAAATTCTCAAATCTCCAGTTTCCTAAAATTCCAAATCCTGAATTCTCCAAATCCATAAAACTCCATATCTTAAAAACTCAAAATTCCCAAAAGTCTAAATTCTCAAATCCTCAAATCCCAAGTTTCCTAAAATTTCAAGTCTTGAAATCCCCAAATCCCTAAAACTTAAATTCTCAAATCTCTATACCTTCAAATCCCTGTATTCCCAAAACCCTATATTCCCAAATCCCTATATTCCTAAATCCCTATATTTCCAAATTCCCAAATTTCCAAGTTCCTAAATTCTCAAAATCCTCAAAATTCCCAAATCCGTGGCGTTCCATCCGACAACGCAGTCCATCGTCGTAGGGATTCTATAACGCTCGTATGTTCTCAGCGTCGTTTCTCGAAACGGAGACACTATTTCCAACACTTCTCTCCGCGCGTGTTACCGTCGAATTTCGGAATCTTCCCAGTATGCGGCGTTACGGTCGTCCTTCGCACGCGGGGAACCTCTTCGCGCTCCGCGTTCCGCCGCAGAACACGATGGCCTTTTTCCCGTCTTTGTCATGCAAACGCCTCGCTCGCTCGGTCGAGGAACAACCGTCGAAGCGGTTGAGCCAAGCAGCCAGGCCAAAGTCTGGTTCTTTTGGGTCTCTTCTCACCGTCTCCGTCTTTTTCCCTACCCCGTCGTTATTTCCCTCTTCTCGTTTCTGCACGCGTGCAATCTCCTCGTCCCTCCAGCGTCTCCAGTGTCGTCGGAGCGACGAGACGCGAGTCTCGGCTTGTCTCTTCAGCATTTCTCGCGTCGGACTCGCTGCCGAGAAGCGAGAGGACGAGCATGCCTGGGAGCCTTCTTTCTCATGGCCTGATGCCAGCGTCGCTCGTCTTCGTCGCACCAAACAACCGATGACCTCCCAACCTTGTCTCGTTATAGAGTCCGTGTCCCTCCCTTCGTCCCTCGACACTTTTTCCCTCCCCCGCCCGAGTATCTCCTTCTCCTTCACGCCCCTACCAACGCTCTCTGACGCCGATGATTGCGCGTTCCTCTTTGCCTTGCTCCTTTTTTCCCTTCCTCCTGTTCTTCTGCCCGCTGTACCTTCCCCCACCCAGGGGCGCCACGATCGCGCGTCCCGTCTTTTTTCTCTTTCGTCTTCTTCTTCTTCTCTTCTTTCGCGCGTTCCGTCCGCCGTGTTCTTCTTGCTCGGTCGGCCAGTGTTTTTAAAGTGGCTAACTGTAAACTTCGCTTCGTGGCGCGCGTGCACACGCAGCCACTGGCCGAGCATCACGTAGCCGCTTAGTTATGCCTTTGCCCCTGACCATTGCACCGGCGACCTTAACGAGTACAAAGTGCGAGAGGGAAGAACGTGGCACCTCTGCGAACCGGCATCACCCGGCTGGCTATTGCGCCGCTACTCCGACCGCCTTATAGGAATTTCACGATGACCTTCCTTGTCCGCGACACTCGTCACCGTGGAAGATTTTCGGAATCTCGGGTCCAGATTTGCTGACACTTTCGTGGGAGTGTAATGGCTTCGACATGTAAATTAAAGTTGCCGCGTTCACACAAGCGTCATTCGAGTGGGGCTAGGACATAGTAGTCGAATGGTGATACTGGTAGAAAGAGAGTCTTCACACATCCTTTGTAATCAATAATAAAAGCTGTAACAACTGTAGCAGGGTTTAGAGGAACAACTAATACATGTAAAATGGTGGGTGCATACGATGAAGGGTACAACTCTGTTAAAGAAGAGTACAGTCGAGGGTGAATCCTAGGAGCAATACACTAAACAAGGGAAGCCTTCAACTGCCTGAGTTTTCGGGGCTTCTGGTGATTTGAACACTTGGAGATGAATTATGAATTTGGAGACATGAATTTGAGGACCTGGGACATTAATGTTTTTACAAATGTGGCCAGGACAGAAGATATGGGTCTAGAGATATAAGGGCCTAGTACCCTGAGTGTATAAACTTGTAGATCTAATAAAATTGAAGAAATAGAGTAGTCTGCAATTTGGAACCAAGAAAACTTGCCAACTGAAGAGCTAAAAAAAATTTGGTTCCTTGAAAATTTGCTAAAAAATTCCCGACACATCCCCCGATCTAAACCTCCCCTAACGCGCCCAAAGTCCACAAGCAATTTTCCCCGAAGCGTACACAAAATATCCCTATCGCGAGGACCACTTTGAATATTCCGAAGTCCAACGAGGAAATGAACCATTCA